AAGCAAACAAGATGTTTTTTTTCTATTGTAGAATTAAAAGAGTTCGCGAGAAATACGAATCTGAACTGCAGGAGCTGGAGCAGTCAGAGCGGAAGCTGCAAGACCGATGCAACCAGCTGAAGGAGAGAGCGACAGAGCTGGAGGGAGAGCAGATCCGACTGCAGGGCCTTTTGAAGCAGAGGGAGCAGGAGGTGGAGGACATCAGGAAGGTGAGGGAGGCGCCGCTCGCATGTGAATAGGATATGATCTGGAAATTTCAGCAGGGAGGTCTAACATTTTTACGAAAGCTTTTAAAATTAAACGTGATAGCTTACCCCTTCATACGTCTTAAGGGGGGCAGGCTTTTTATTAATTTTGGACCTGTTGGTCCTGCCAGTATTGGCTGTGCTGATGACTTCTGCTCCTAGGGTGACAACGCTGTCTCAGGCCCGGTTGACACCTGGGCGTTTTGTAGCGCATTCCTACGCTCTGCAAAACGCTTAAACACCGAAATCCCATTATTTCCTATGGGTATGGCTCACACCTGGGCGTATTAAAGGCCGTATGAACGCGCTACAAAACGCCCTACGCCCAAAGAAGTACAGGAGCTTCTTTGGGGCGTATTTGCCGCGCGTATCCATTGGGATACAGCCAGGTAGCCCTCGGAAAACGCGATATGTGGCGCGGTTTTTTTACCGCAAATCGCGGTAAAAACACGCGACAAACGCGCATATTCGATACACCTAGGTGTGAACCCAGCCTTACTGTGAGCCTGTGCAGGCTCAGCATTGTTAACCTAGGATACGCACTGCATGCTGACATGGCAGAATACAGTGGGCTGGGGACATTAACTGCCAGGCATTCTTTAGCTTGGCCCATAGCACTAGAACCACCCCCAGCTCAGCTGATGTGAGCTGGCTATGCCAACGCACTCTGGTGTGCACCTACAGTTAGATGATGCTGGACGTCCCCCAGCCAGGAAGTGAGGCGAACTCTCTCTGACTTGCTGCGGCTTCTAATGCACATGGTGAGAAGCTCCCAGTGTGCAGTGACATCAGAGGAAGCCATTTCAGTCCAGGAGAGGCGCCGGCACAAGTGTACAAGGCTGGAGGGAAGGCCAGAGGTCAGCTTTAACGCTGAAAAGGAGTATCCCTTTAAGAGAGTCGGAGTTACTGTTCCTTTAATGAAAGCTCTTTGCTCACCAATTACAGATCACAGACCGGTTGAACGAGGAGAGGAAGAGCCTATCGGATGTGATCCGTCAGGAGTTCGCCGACCGCCTGGTAGTGACAGAAGAAGAAAACAAGCGGTTAAAGATTGAGGCCTCCGAAGCGCAGGCCCGCCATCGCCTTGAGCTGGAAAGAATCACTCGTGAGAAGGAGGAGGAGCTTGAGGAGGTGCACAAAAGGTGAGCGCCATCCATGAGAACCTGCAACTTGATGATACTTGTGAAGAAATTGGCTTCTTTTTCCGGGCTGGTAACATGGCTGCTCTCCCGGAGAATTGTTGAATTACAATTCTGATTTTTTTTTTCTTGCCCCTTGAGGGACTCGGGGATTCAGTTACTGTCGGGTCCTTTGTTTGGAGTCCATTGAGGACTCTGTGTATGGTCATGCTTTTGGTACTGCTTGCTACACGAGGCATGCTGGGAGAAGAGGAGGGGTAATCCTGGGCTGGCCTACAGGTTTTTTGTTTGCCACTGCCCAATCTTCCTGTTGGCAGCAGTATAACCCAACAGAATTCCTGTGTCCTGCAATAGACTCCTTGCAAAGGATTTTAAGGCGAGTACAAAGTTCCTATAGTTAGTTTATTCAAAATGAACTCTGGGCATAAACATTCTTTTCAAATATTGAAAGCCACTAAGGACATGAAGCCATTTCATCTGCACCAAATATCTTTGCAAAACCAGATATAACCTTGTAAAAAGTAGTGGTGACACGGCTGCAGAGAGGAGAGCAGTGGATGGGACGCAGCAGGTCCACCTTGCAGGCTGTAGGAAACTACAGAGGGGGGGGGAGTCACCCTGCACAAGGCTTTTGATTTCCCAGCATTCCTGGCTCTTCCCCTGAGGTTGCTGTGAGCTTCCCCTTTTGCAAGGCTTAGTTGGGTTGAGGCCAGGGCTCTGTGCAGGACACTCGAGTTCCTCCACACCAAACTGGTCACCAAATGTCTGTATGGAGCTGGCTTTCTACACAGGGGACAGTCATGGTGGAACAGAAAAGGGTCTTCACTAGGGATGCACCGATACCACTTTTAACAGACGCGGTGCTGTGTGCGACAGTGGAAGATGGCGGACACAGGTACTCGTTTTGGACATCAGAGCATTTGCACGAGTACGAGTACCCATGCAAATACTCGGTATCGCGGCCGATACCGATGCTTGTATCGGTATCGGTGCATCCCTAGACTTCACCAAACTGTGACCACAAGGCTGGAAGAGCCCAATTGTCTACAATGTCTTTGTATGATGGAGGAATACCAGAACCTTCACTGGAGACACCGGAACTCAATCATTTGGAGAGGTGGCCATATACTTTTGGCCACATACATAGGTGATGGTCACTGAGGACACCTGAACTCAGTTTGAATCATTGGCCACATACAGCCATTTTGGTCATGTAGGTGGATGTGATGGGTAGTTGTCCACAAACTCTGCCCATATATAGTACCGTTATGCGTCACACATGGTACTGGCCATCTTCAAGCACTGCTAAATACACCTAACCTCTTGGTGAGAGGTAACTTGTGCAGAGTGAAATACAAGGGGTCTACTGTTCTCAGGTATCAGGGTCCAAGGTTCTCCAGTATTAGGGTCTAAGGGCCTCCAGTATCTGGGTGTAAGGTCCTCCGGTATCACGATGCATGGTTCTCCAGTTTTGGAGTCCACAGTTCTCAGGTATTGGGGTCTATGGGCCTCCAGTATCTGGGTGTAAGGGCCTCCAGTATCTGGGTGTAAGGGCCTCCAGTATCTGGGTGTAAGGGCCTCCAGTATCTGGGTGTAAGGGCCTCCAGTATCTGGGTGTATGGTTCTCCAGTATCAGAGTTTGATGGTGAGATGAAGCATACATTGTTAAAGCAAATTTTGTAGCCCGAATCTAGTCGATGAGGTAATGCGGCAGGTGACCTTCATGTTATACGCACAGACAGTGTAGATTGATTTGGTGTTGCAGTAACTTTGATTCGGTTTGGTTCACTTTGCTGCTCCTGAGCGCTTTGATGGAACAAAAAGTAGACATGAAATCATTGTACATGAAATGTCATAAAAGTGTGTTCCATTGGTGCGTGTGAGAGTGACGACTAGACAGCGTGACACATCCTGGAACATCGGAATAATGGTGCCACATACCAGTTCATTGGATAACCTCAAATACACTGCAAAAGGGACAACCAGCTGTCAGCTCACGATGATCTCTCCAACAAGAAAATCAGATTTTATCACCAATGTTACTTTGTATCTCTCTATCTCCCTCTGATCAATGTTTATAAACAATGTTACTTTGTGTGGTTTGTCACGCGGTTGTCATTGGCTGACACATAGCTCAGTCCAAGTAAGTGATAGCGGCTCCTGTGCAGAGACTCGCCATGCACTTGCTGTAGTCACCTCCGGCAGCACAGTTGTCAGTGAGCAGTATGGAAGTTAAGGATAATCCTGGTACATGCCCCCTATTTTCAGGAAGTTTGATTGCCTGTAGGCTTTTGCTGAGATTGTGATACATGACCATCTTATACGCACAATTCCATTGTCTCCACCCAGGTATAAGGTTCTGACATTTTGCCGTTTTCTCTCTGATCAGGGTCAAATCTGCAATCGTGAAGAAAGAAGAGACTGTGAATAACCTCCGGAAGCAGTGCGAGGTCAGTGAAACGCAAGCGCTAATAAAAGGGGAACTCCAACCTTTCTTTTTTTATTGTAAAGCTGAGCTCCAGGATGGCCGTGAGTTTCCATTATGAACTTCAGCTCTCGAAGTTCAATCAAATCGCCAGAAAAATATTATAAATCACTCCAAGCATTTCGGGGATCATTGATTTTTTAAATCGCTGTGGCGTCTTGCGGGGGCGCGGCACACCTCAGGTGACACCAAAATGACTGTCATGCTGGTGTCACCCCTTCTGAAAGGTCGGGCACTCTGTCATTGGCCGAGAGCCTGACAGCTGCATGAGAGAGGAGGGGACCCGGCGGTATACCTTATCCTGCCGGATGACCCCCCCTACTCTTTGCCGGCGTGCCATCACCAAGATGGCCGCCGGCAGTGAAATGCGTGTGCATAATGACGTCACGTGCAAAGGAATGACGTCTGCACCAGGTGACACCCAGCCTGGTGCCGTCACTATAAGCTCTCCATCCTTTCATCAGTGGGGGGATCTTTGATGTGGGGGAGGGTTAGAGTACAGCTATCTGGGGCATTGTTAGACATTTTCCATCACTTCCTGTCTGCTGACAAGGAAGAGGAAATAACCTGAATGGGTGTAATGGGTTTTAGCCTTCCCTTTCTCTACCACAAATTTATGTTTCCCCCTCACTTCCTGTCTGATAAAATGTTGTCAGCAGGACAGGAAGTGAGGAGAAATCTGCAACACAGAGAAATGAAACAAATGGTTTGCTTTCTAGTAGGCTAAGGGAAGCCCCCTCCAGGCCTTTTCTGACTGTGTTGCTGTCTCCCTCACTTCCTGTCCCACTGACCAGGGTTTCCGCCAGACAGGAAGAGAGAAAAAATCTGCAACAGGGGACACGGACAGAAGTGGCCAGAAGGGTATTATCACCTTTCCTTTCGCTACTTATTCCATTTCTGAGTATGTTGCTGATTTCCCCTCACTTCCTGTCCGGCAAATTATTATCAGCAGTACAGGAAGTGAGGGGAAATCTCACTAGTGGAGCCCCCAGATAGCCGTACACACCTACCAGGGCTTCTAACCCCTTCCCCCCACTCTATGCAAAGGCTGGAAATTCACAAACTATCTAAAAACCTTCAAGAAAAAAGAGCAAACTAGCGACTTCCTGTCCAGTCACCGCACGGGAACTCGCAGCCTCCGGGGTCCCTCCTCTATCTGTAACTGGAGCCTGATGGTAAAGTTTATGAAATGACGACTTTATCTGTTGTTCTCTTTCCTGCAGGCGGCTGTGAAGCGAGCCGATCACCTCGAGGCCTTGCTGGAGCAACAACGCAAGCAGCTGTTATCCAAATAGCAGCCGACCTCAGAAGTCGTCCCCCCATCCCCCCACCGTGGCGGCCATTTGTGGCTTCCTGTTACACTACTGCAAGATTTTAGTTTGTGCTTTGTTCCGGAATGTTCCGTTTGTGCCTCTTGTTTCTAAATGTTAAATATGTTTTTCTTGGATTTTGTACAAATTGTGTGTTTGCGTCTTCTTCTTTTTTTTTAATTTTTTTTTTAAATAAGCCCCAATTAGTTCAAAATCAGCAAAATACATTCCAGCTGCAATGCTTTCCAGGTCATTTTCTTTAGAAAGCAGCCACAGCCTGAGTGGAAAAGTCTGTCCCCTGCCAGCTGCAGAGTG